TGAGCCTCATCCCCAATCTTATTTATTTATTTATTTGTTTTAGTTGTAGATGGACACAATTATTTAATTAACACCTTTATTTAATTAATTTATTTTTTATGTGGTGCTGAGGATTGAACCCAATGCCTCACACATACTAGGGCAGCGCTCTACCAATAAGCCACAATCCCAGCCCCATCCCCAGCCTTTTAAAATACTTTATTTAAAGACAAGGTCTCACTGAGTTGTGCAGGGCCTCACTAAGTTGCTGAGGAGGGCTTTTTAAATATATATACATATAAAATGAACCCTGGTTTTTCATTTATTTGTTTATTTATATGTGGTGCTGAGAACCAAACCCAGTGCCTCACACACACTAGGCAAGTGCTCCACCCCAGCCCTGAGGCTGGCTTTGAACTGGTGATCCTCCTGCCTCAGCCTCCTGAGCCTCTGGGATGACAGGCTTGTGCCACTAGCCCCACTGGCCTTGAGCTTTTGATTCTCCCAACTCAACCTCTGGAGTCACTGAGGTTACAGGCACCACCACACCCAGCTCCTTTGGACTTTATTCCACGTTGGGTACCAAAGGGCTTGGAGTAGGAGTGGCTTAGGCCTCAAGGGCTTGGCACCACTCTGACCCACGCAGCCCTCCTCCTTTCCCCCAGGGCTCGGCCAGTGGCAGCTCTGCAGCATAGCAGTCCTTAGCTCAGTCTGAGGCCGTGGCCTCATCTTCTAACGCCTGGCTGGCAGCTTCTATTGTGACATTTCTGGTGTCCTTTGGGTATTCAATTCCGCTGTGCTGGTTGAATGCCACCAACTGTCCTTGCACATTCTTTGCCCACCTTACCAAGTGGACAGGGACTTACCTCTCATCGTCAGTGCTTCATCCCCAACATCTAGGCCAGGGATCAAGAGAGGGACATAGGGGGCTGGGGGTGTGGCTCAAGCGGTAGCGTGCTCGCCTGGCATGCGTGCGGCCCGGGTTCAATCCTCAGCACCACATACCAACAAGGATGTTGTGTCCGCTGAAAACTGAAAAATAAATATTAATTCTC